GTCACTTTTGAATAATTTTAATATTCCTGACAATGAACATGAATTTTAATTATCATGTCTATACTGGATACCGGTACTTCTGCATAAAAAATCCTAACAAGGATACATTGCGGGTTCCAGTATATGTTCAACCAAGCCTCTTTCTTTACTCTTAATATATTAACACTAGTGAGGGAGAAACTTCTAGAATACGAGTACTGTACAACACTATATTCGAGAAGTGGTGTAAATCAGATGTGGATGCTAAAACATTCTAAGAACTTTTGGAACATTTCAAATAAAAAAATACCAAAAATAATAACATAAAAAAAATTCCCACTTTTCAACTTTATATGCAACTATTCCAAAAATAAATAAAAGTTAAGGCTTTTTGATATCTTTGACAGATGCTTTTTTCAATAAAAACGGAACTCATAAATTTACTTATCTAGTCATTGATCATTTGCAAATTAAATTACTTTATTAAAACATTCTGATTGAACACGCAAGTACTCTGAAGTTGACATCAAAAGATGTTAGAGTTCTAGATTAATATGTGGGTTTTAGAGATCAGGTCTTCCAACAATTTTTTGGAATTCCCATGGTTACCAATTGCGTCCCGTTATTATCAGACCTATTTTTGTATTAAAATGAAGCAGAATTACATCAAAATCTTTTACGTGAAAAGAAGAAAAATCTTGCTGTGGCCTTATACTCGACACCTAGGTATATTGACGATGTATTGTCAATGAACAAAAAGTAAATATTGACCTATCATACCGAGGCCATGGACTGGTCAGAGATCCAGGAGAGTATGTCACTGAACAATCCTAACTACAAAACTCTGGGTTGTAAAGTAAGTCACACATTTCATTTCTTGTACTGATGGTAGCCATATATTGATGAAGTTTCCTTCTTTTAAAAAACCGTGCTAATGCTGCTATTATTGATATGGCATAAAAACTTAATAAAATGAAATGCACAAAAAATGTTTTCATGTTACTACTAAATGTCACTCAAATCTGAAATGATGCAAGGAGTCAAAGGGGCATCATTCCTCTATTCTTCAAATAAGCTCAAAGAATGTAAGGTATAAATGAATTATTAATTTGTTGAAACTTTAAAGATATAATTATTTATCAAAAACTTCGTAAAATTTGAAACAAAATATTAAGATTACGTACTATTATCAGGCACAAGGAGTGCATTGAAATAAAAAATTGTGAACAGAGCAAACACAGACGTTGAAAGATCAGGTGCCGTGAGGGCGGCAGCACCTCCATCCCCGTCCCCACACAGTAAACAGTGAATGGCTCATGAAGGATGTATACAATTCATCTTATTTGCTGAAAAGGTCATTATATCGACCACAAAACTTGTCTAATGTTGATTTTAAACAGACTTTGTTGTACTAGTATCTTTTATCCAAATACCTGGACAGTCCACTTCAATTTAATGCATAGCATGAATCATTTACTACATGTAGTAATTTTTTTAGTTATCACCGAAATGATTTTAAAATAAAAACAAATATTTTTTTTAACTAACAGTTAAATAAAATTTATCTGAAAGCTATATTCAGTGCTGTTGATTTTAAATGTAAAGCCTGATGTATGCAATCAGAAAATTTTGAGTTTAAAAGACGGTTTGCCATGGTGACTTTAAATTGTTAGTGCCGTTATTTTCACTAAGAAAAAAAACAAGAAATTACTCTATAAATGAAATATAAATAGCAGTCATACTTAGGACGAAACGAGAGCCTCCGTAGAGTTGTCGTTCCTCTGTCAAGTTGTACTAACCTCTATATTTTAGGTAGAGTTGTCGTTCGTCACGCTTTTAGACTAATAGCAGGATGGCTTGAGTTCTACATAATGCATGTTTTAATAAATATTTTCTATGACAATCAAAAAATGACACGGTATTTATCGGGCTAAATGTAGCAGAATTAGCAAGTCAACGACAGATGAATCTATGAAACGATGGTAGAGAACACATTTAAATTATTTACAGTATACATGTATATGGAGGAGTGTGGATCCCCTCCCGATTGCTCACACCCTCCGTGTGCTTCCTGCCACGATCGGGAAATAACGGATAATTCCTCTACCAATTCAATGTATAAAATATAATAGCCATACATTTAGTATGAATAATGTTTGTCAACTTTTGACTCAATGATAAATTGTACGTTTCCCCTTCGTTTGATTAAATCAAAGTACTCAGAAGTACAGAGAGCCGGGCTCATTTACAGAGTAGAATGGATTTCTTTCATGAATCACGTTTATATTCTGATGAAAAAATTATTTTAAAACTATCAGTATAAATGATAAGACAATGACAGTGAGTTTTTCAATCCTAATACCACGGTCCGATTTTGTCAGAATCAGAATTAATCTGGTACCGCAGCTGAATCTAAACAAACAGGCCAGACTGGTTCCCTCTCCTGCTTTACCTCGTATGTGTAGAGAACTACGGTAACACTGATTATCAAAAATCCTTACGCTAATGAACTACGTTCTTTGACTTATGAAGTTTTCAAAGTCATTACTACTAATGTTTATTTTATATAGATAAAACTTCGTTTTATTTTTTGTTGCTTTATTTAGCGTTTGTATTATCTCAAAAGCGGTTGAGAGTAAGAACTATATTTTTGCACGTAACTTTAAATTGGCGACTATGGGGTCAACATCCTGCCTTGAACAGGATCACATAAGCCGGCAATTGCTCTTTGAGCAATAAGCCCGGCTAAAAATATTTGTGATTCGCATGCAAACACTCACTAATTCCACTTTCTTTAAGAATTCTTGGTACCATTATACACTCATTCTTTTCATAATTAAGCCCTTTGTCAATGTTTTATTTTTGAACAGTAGCATAAGACAAGGTTAAAAATTCACATGTCACTCCATACGTCTGTCTTTTTGACAACGTCAGACAACACTGAACGTTTCCGTCCGATTTCCTATCTTCCGGTCTTCTTGTCCTCTGCTGATCATTCAGTGACCAATCACCCGACCAAAATTGCTGAAACCATCTATTAAGATGTCTCTTATTTACATTCTTTATTCTGTAAGTCTGATTAGTTAACGTGACTGTCGCTTTCGATGATTCCCATATTTTGAAGCAAAAATGCATTACAACTCATCGAACCGTTTTGTCACATTTCGACAATCCCTTTGTTCAATTTGACAGAGTTAAACAACAATGTTTATGGTCACAAATACCAATGCCGTCATTTCATTTTCAAATAAAGACTAGAAAATGACGAGAATTGTGTCTTTTAAAAAATTGGGAGATTATGTGCTTTTTTTAGAATCTTTTTAATGTGTTTGTCTTTTTCATTCTAAGAAACAAAAAATTTTAAAACATGACACTCTGTTGTGACGCGGCGACACCCCCTATGCTCTATATTTTAACCATATTACATAATTTCAAATAAACATTATTAAATGAAAATTTCAATGTAAATTAGATTTATATTTGTGCATCTTTTGGTATATTGTACTTGATAATATGACGCAAAATATAAAAGATATTGACACTGTGACATTATTTTGGGTCAACCCTCGTATTTGCTCACAAGGTAATTGTATCGACCATAGAACTTACGAAAGTATGCCTTTATATGATAGTATTTGCTGGACTGTTGATATATTCTTGCTTTATCAAATTGATTGTCAATTATTTACTTAGTACCTCGTAGAACACGTTCTTTTTCCATCGATTCAACTGAGAGAAATAAGTTCGTATGCAGGTGTCAAAGGTATATAACTGCATAAGTAAGGGAAGTGGGCGATTGAAAAGTTAAAGTCATCGCGTTTATCGTAAAGCTTTGTTATTAGATAACCATTAACCTCTCTTTCTAGTAAAAAAATCCAAATATGAAACAGATGTGTCAAATTCTGTGGTAAAATTCTAAAGAAATCCTTTTCATACAACATATCAAATTTAACGAAATTCCGAAAACCCCAGGTTGTAGATTGAAATTAAAGTTTAATGAATCGATTTTGAATATTTTTTCAACTGATAGGAAGTTGGACATCGTATTGTGTTTTTGTGTTTTTAACATAATGGTAAACTGGAGTTACTTTTGAAGGGGTAAGAGTGTTCTTCTAATATAATTTCTGTACGAGAATAAGCAAATTTCAACCCAGCAGACTCCCTTAAATGCCATAATATCTGTTTTGTAAATAAACCCCAGGAAGACATATGTAATATTAAAGTCAATGCAATGTAAGGAGATGGTTAGATTCTGAAATTAACAGTTGATTTTCTATTTTATTTAATTTTATCATTGCGTTTCTGATGCCAGGAATGTTTTAATGGTTCAACAATGGACTTAATTGGACTAAACTTTAATTTGAATTCCAGTGTTTTAATGTCAAGCAGTAGTTATATTTTGTTAAAGTTGTTTATCAAACACACGTTTATTGTCCATCAGAGGTGTGATTAGGTGCCAAAGTTGAGTAAGCCTTCCCTTTCAACCGGTCACACCTCTCCATATGCTCCACTTAACAATTAGAAAAATGGAAAGTCACTGGATAATTCATTGAGTAAGACATGGCTTAACAATTAGTCTAAAAACGCCAGCTAGTATTTGAATTAATGATAGAACAGATATGTCATACTGTGTGCTATCCTTTATTTCAAGGCCAAAAGGATATATCGATTTGACATATGTATGAAAATTATTTATTTTAATATATAATACTCTTTCGATATGAAATATATAGTTAATATAGTCAGTCACCTTAAAGACCACAGCACATCCAACTTACTCGTTTGAAAATGGATATGTGCATTTAGATAAACACAACAAATAGTAACTGATAAAATGGTCTTATCTTGAAACAAATCCCTTTCCAAAACTGTTGGAACTTCGAACAATGTCTCTTAGATGTGTAGTGACATTATTTGCCATTCTTTTTCATGTATCACAATGTAAGTACAAACTAAAAATTATACTGATTCCTTGATTTAAAATGTAAGATGGTATTAATTAGTATGTTTTACATCAACAGGTTGTGAACCGGGCTGGGTGACCTATCACGACAAATGTTACTGGTTTTCAAACTGTTATGCCGATTGGATTACATCTTCGGTAGTGGAGACGGCAGATTTAAATAAATATCATTTTGTTAATAGCAAGGGACTTCTATACGAGGATGTTTGTAATGAATTTTCTGGTTTGTATCATTTTGAAGGGAAGACTCGTTAGACCGTCAGTTTATTTTTTCCACCATTCATGGCATTGAAAATCCTTCGTTATATTATCAAAACATCTTAATATAGTTATTTACATGTGCATGTGTTAATTTTTATCAACCTAGAAGATTAAATTGGTGTCTATTTCTTTTCATTAGAGCTTCTGTAGATCTTTTCATTCCAAATTAGCAGAGCCAAAGACAATCCTGGAAATGAATTTCTTGTCTGGTCAAGCAATGACGAAAGGTAAAAACATATAAGTTTACCTATCAATATATTTAATACGAAAGAAAATGCTCTGTGTATGAGCAATTTCTAAAACAAGGTAAGTTCTTACAAGAAGAATTTCAAGTCTCGTTTAATTTTAAAGTTATCATATACGAGGGTTGTTCGAAAAGTTCGTGGACTTCTGTCATATCTTTTTTTTACTTGACGTCAAATGTTATCCAAATTTGGTACAAATATTTTAACAATAAATCTAAATGATATGTGTTAATTTTGACAAAATATTACGATTGATTAAAAACTTATCCAGATTTTAAAAATGCAAAAATCGGATCGCGGAGCAGGTCAAAATTTAGTCAGTTACAGGCAATACAATAAATAATGTCTATAGTCATATTCTCTGTAAAATGGAGGAAAAAACGAAAAACTACTATTCTCTGTAAAATGGAGGAAAAAACGAAAAACTACCTAGAAATTCAAATTAAGAATTGTTACATCGATACGTGTGCCAAATTATGGTTTTATATTTTGCGGTGTTCAAAAGAAATCAACTTAAGTTGAGAAGATAAGTTGTCCTTATTGACAACGACAAAAATGATGACGTTTTAGAACGTCACGGAGCAGCAGGTACCGAAGCAATTTTGTGTTTTTCTCAGGAAAAATCCTGAATAAACTCTAAAAATATTGAAGGAATCAAGAAAAAATGTCGCAAGCGAGTTGTGCATGTGTGTACAAATAGTACAGGCAATATTTGAGTGACAGGGACTCTGTATCGGATGAGGATGACCTGTGAAGAAACGGTTTAACTGTAAACATGTGAACAAAACTTTAAAATTTGAAACGTAAATGAAGGACAAAGGCACTTCAGAGTTGCTTATCCCGAGAAAGCAGAGTTAAGTACTAAAAGAAATTAAAACCTTAACAAAGGAAATTATACAATGAGATCAATTATTAAAAAATAAATGTCAAGTATTAGAAAAATAATTTAATGAATGGGCATTGGAATATTCTGTGTGAAATGTATAGGTATAGTATCTATTATAAATTCTCGACGCTATGTGTTGACGTTACATTGTCGTTTTGTGTTCTCCGCGGGTACAAAACATGTTGATTTTAAAATGAAGTAAATTTATTTGTGTTAAATCGAATGGAATGAAACTTCACACATCAACAAAACAAATATTTTTACATATTATAATGTGCTTGTTTTGAATTTCCAGTGAGTAATATAACGAAGATGGACATCGTCCACGAACTTTTCGAAAAATCCTCGTAGTAAGTTTTTCATAAGTGTCAGTGCGTTATTTACACTTTGAATTGGCGTTATTTCATGACAAGAAGCACACGGTGGGTGTGACCGGTCGGCAGGGAATGCTTACTCCACCATAGCACCTGATCCCATCTCTAATGTTTTGGAGTTCCGTGTTTGCTCTGCTCGTTTTTTGTAATGTTTATTGAACTTTTGAACTCGAATACTGTTAGCCATCTCCACATATTTCATGCTACTGTTCATGCAGCTGTTTGGTTATTTTTTAAAACAAAAAGAACATTTAAATTGATAAAATCAAATATATTTGAACTTGATATTGTTGACAATATAATCACATGGAACTTGATTGTGAATTTCATTGATTTATTTTTTTCGTCAACGAAACAATTGAGAAAAAGAATGTCATCAGCATACTTGAAAGAGCGGATGCTGTATTAGTTTACAACGACATAAATGAGATGTGGTAATTAAAAATATTTATTTATTTTTTTTCAAATTGTAGGTCATGGCTTTTGGATAGGAATAAGTGACATGATATTAGAAAACCACTGGGTTTATGCATCTTCTTTATTGCCTTTCACGATACAATTTTGGGGACACAATGAGCCAAATGGTGGAACAACAGAAAATTGTGCTTTCATATCCTCCAGTGACGGAAAACTTATTGACCATAAACAAAGTTCTGAACATCTCTTCATATGTGAAATTGAAAACGAGTATGTATTTTTTACCATTTCGATTCATGTATTATCACGAGTTAGAACTAAACAAAACAAATAAAATTGATGCAAATCATCAAATCTACTGCAAACAAAATGAATGACACGGTAAAGAAGGCGTATTTATAAGGAATCTACTAGTATTTAAAATAACATACATTCTGTGTGTTATATATAAAGGTATTAGTAATAAGTGATAAGTAAACAAAATTGTGTATTCTTTGAAATTTTTACGTGTTCTGGTCCAGGTTTACTGTAATATAGACATTATATGTTTGTTTTCGTGTTTACTGTAAATTCCTAAATATACGCGTGGAATTAATTATCGCGTAATTTCGCGAGAAGCACCACTCGCGAAATGAAATTGCTTGCTTTTATTTTTATGGTGTTAAAATATAATTTATGTAAAATCTCATGATCAACCGTCCATTCGCGAATTTATGTTCTCGCGTTTTGACGTCGAAGAGCCAATTCACGATAATAACCACTCGCGAAAAATAAGAAATCTACTGTACTGTTTTGAGGGGGTGGTGTTAAATTTTAGTATTTCTTCAAAGGCAGAGGAACTTATTATTTGGAAACATAATACGTGTCAACTGCATGTGATTTTCCTATTATTTGTTTTTTTTAAATCAAAAACAAAATGTTGTTATTATTTGTTTGTTGTTTTACGTTCCTCTCGAGAATTTTTCACTCATATGGAGATACCACCACTTGTCAGTGGAGAGCTACAATATTTTTTGTCCTATTTTCGTAACTAACAGCCATTTAACAGGCAGGGATCTTTATCGTGCCAACACCTAATGCGACATGGGACCTCCGTTTATACGGTGTCATCGTAAGGACAGGGGCCCGTTTTACAAAAGAACTTACGACCAAGACCAAAAACTCAAGATGATTGTAAAATTTTACAAAATAAATAATTGTCTGAGAAACTGTTTGTGTAAAAATATCTTCCCATATTCCTTTTAAAAGGTTTTAAATAATTTTTGATATAATGTTAATTAAAAAGTTATTTGAATGAAATTTAATCTTAAGTCTTAAGTCCTTTTGTAAAACAGGCCGCTGGTCTCCACGTCCCACGTTTGGGTTTAAACCCTCGACATAAGGATCAGCTTACTTCGCGACTATAAAGCAGACACTCTGTCAACTGTGCCACACAGGCGAGTATTTCTTATTGAATTTATCAATTAAAAATGCAAATACATTGCTGATTATTGCTGAATATTACAGACATTTTCAAGAAAGTGAACTCTAATTTTGTATAATCCATCAAAATAAGCAAAAGAAAAAATGGATACTTAAAAAAAAAAAACTACACCTCAAGGAAAAGGTGTATTGTTTAAAACGAAGAGAAATCTTTTATCTACGACTACAAATGATAAAATGTATTCTTTTTGTATTCTTAATATTTACAATATCTTGTATTTCTTGTTTATGGATAAGAAATCTTCCTTATTTGTTTTTACCTTTTTTCACAGATCCACACCCATCAGCATTATTGGCTGAGGAATGATTTGATGTTCAGGAATGTAATGAAAATATTTCAACTCACCACATCTTTTCAATAACAAAATTGGTTAAAATAAAAACAGTGAACAATTTCATGAATAGACTATATTTTGGTAACCAATTATACCTGATTACACTGATTTCCTGATTTTCATCTTTTTTGCCCATCTCACAAATAGTTTGAGAGATTTTTTCAGATTGATTTCTGTTCGTTATCTTCACCTTTTCATAAAGCTACAAACAATAAACTTCTACATGACTCAGTGGTAATTAAAGAAGGATATGGAGATAACAAGACAATTCAAAGTCCATAAAACAATACAAAATAGGTAATTAAACATCAGAGGTGGAATCAGGTGCTTATACGTACCCATAGCTCCCTTCTTAAGGAGGAAATTGTTTAAAATCATATATCAGTTTTGAATATTTTAAAAATATTTTTAATATTCCCAACAACTGTAATGAATTATTTGAACAACCATATCAATGTCGGATTTCAATACTATATAAAAATTCTAACAAAAAGAGATAAGTAGCGGGTTCCAGAAAATGCTCAACTAAGTCTCTTTCTTTACTCCTCACTTAAGTATTAACAGTAGTGTCGGAGAAACTCCTGGAGTACTGTGCAACAATACATTCTTGAGTGATGTAATTCAAATGTGGATACTTTAAAATTTCAAGGAACTTTTGGAAAATTTGAAATCACAATATTTTACCACAATCAACAACATTAAATCATGCGAGTTTTCAACTTTATACACACCATTCCACACGATTAAAAAGTCCAGACTTTTCGATATCATTGACAGCAGCTTTTGCAATAAAGGTGATCTCGTAAATTTACCTACCTTGTCATCGGTCATTTGCGAAATTATTTTGTATAAAATCATTCTGATTGACCACACTAGTAATCTGAGGTTGATTTTAAAAATGTTTTTTTGGGGGGGGGGGGGGGGGGGGGGGGGGTTTTTGGAGACCATTTATTCCAATATTCTGTGCCAACTGCGCCCTGTTATAAGCAGACCTATTTTTGTATTCACATGAAGCAGAATTTGTGACAGTATCCTTATCAATTGTTATTTCTATTCTTATGTCGGTACAATATATCTCAGTGATCTTAAAATAAAAGATACCATGGAGTCTGACACAAATATTTCATATTTGGATATCTTAAGAGGTGTAAATGGAAATTTAAAAACCAAGCTTTATGCTATTCCTTTGTGGTAGCGCCTACATAAACTGTCTCAATGCAGTTAAAAACAATATATAAGTAAATTAAAGTATGGTAATTACGAACAGTTTTTCAGCTCAAAATTCTTTTAAACTTTACAGATTTAGAGAGGAACAATCACGAACCTCCAAAATATGAGGTGGGATCAGCTTCCATTAAGGAGTGAGCATCGCCTGCCGACCAGTCATACCCACCGTGTGCTCACTGGCATAATTCGGAAATGAAGAGAATTAAAATCCTAGACAATACATAATATCACGAATACCTCGCAGTTATCTAACTTACTACCGCTCTTTTGTGGGAGAGTCGAGAAAGCTCTAGATTTTGGGGACACATGACATTGTTTACAGTAGTAACAATCAAATGATTCGATCAATTTAATGCCGAAAGAAAAATGTATTGCCAAGAATTGGACTCAAAGTAGTAGATTGTCAACTAAGGAAAGTTTTGAACATTTTATCAGCTTTAAAATGTGACGATTTTCAATGAAAATTTAATAAGAAGAGTACGCTTAGTGAAGAATATCGTTAAAAATGTAACATTTTAGGATTAGCTCGTCTCAAAAATTAATTAGGGTGATTCAGCAATTTTTAAGCAAGGTATTCCACCAGTATTTTTTTACTTATACATCCCTGTAAACTCTACATTGACCGATCTTGCATTGTATACAACAGCACAGTTGTCCCCACCCAACAGACGTTTCCTACCTCCATCAGGAAAGAGTTCCGCTAAGTTGAGTAATCGCGATATCAAGTATTCAATGTGTTTGCAATGACCTTACAGTTAGTATGAAAAAATTGGAGAAAATGGCTTTTGAGTTTGAAAACTGTTTCTTATCTTCATATACATGTATTTCATGCAAAAAATTAAACATTCGTACAAAACATTTCATATTTTGCAGCTTCAATTCTGTCTGTACTCTATTTTCTTAATATTCCATTTCACAGAGAGATTTTACTGAATTAAAAAATGTTTTTGAGTTTGTTGTTGTTGTTGTTGTTGTTTAATGTCCCTCCCGAGAATATACCACTCATACTGAGATGCCATCATTTGCCAGTGAACAGCTGTACACCCGGTATTTTGTCCTATACACAGCACTTACGGCCATTGTGCAGTGAGGGATCTTTACCGTACAAGCACCTAATGCAACACGAAACCTCGGTTTATACGGTCTCATCCAAAGGACCCGTCTTGCGCACGTCACACGGAGAGATTTCAACTCTTTACTTTGCGACTCTGGAGCAGACGTTGTAACTACCTTGAATGAAAAGAAGAAATCTTACAAATTACGACTAACCGTATATGTTCCTACAGCTAGAAAGTACGAATGAAAAGAAGAAATCGTACAAATTATGACTAACAGTATATGTTCCATTGGCGGATCCAGAGGGGGGGGGGGTCCAGGGGTTGGAACCCCCCCCCCTTTATTTTTTGCCAAGTGGAGAGAGAGAGAGAGAGAGATGATAAAACGTTTTCCGAGATTATATGTTTGTACGTCTTATTTATTGATTGAATAGATAGATTCTCACACATTTAGTAATAGTTTCCTCCAATCACCTCCTATTATATTTTTTAAGAGAGAATGGTAGAAAATATTCTACTTATTTTTATATATCTTATATATGATATGTAACATGCGAGGTTTAATTTGATATTAGATTCCCGCGATCTTGCTGTGTTAGCTATATATGTACCGTTTTTATCATATCTTGATCAATTGAACGAACTAACATGTAACTCTTTGTTTTAAAGCCCACCCGCACCCCACCCCGAAAAGGTTTTTCAAATTCTTAAAGAAAATTCTTTATAATCTTCGGAAGTGATACGAATCCATTCAATTTTAAGGCTTCCGTAGTTTTTGATTTTTTTTTTTTTTTTTTGGTTTTGTTTTCTTTTTTTGTTCGGAATGGGGGTACGCTTTTTTTTTAAAGGACATAAAACAAATATAGTATTTCCCACAACCTTAGATCTTTCCATACACGTCTATTAATCTTTGCTTCAGAATATTATCATTGGTTGAGGGTTTAACCCTGTTGAAAAATTGCTGGATCCACCCCTGTGTTCCTACAGCTAGAAAGTACTTTTATTTATCCAAACTTTAAAACACATCATGATCACGCATTGAAATGCTTACAAAACTAAACTATTACACAATGATTGCTTAGCATTACAAATTCTACTTCCTATACAATGAAGCATGATTAATTTACCAGAGAGGCGCATAAAATTAAATTTGGAGACGGATATGAAGAGATTATGTATCACCCAATTATGCATAAATATTGTTTGTATAATTGATTTTTTAAATCGGAGAGTTATCTATTGATCGTGAATGTATGTTGGCTTACACACTGTTAAAATATATTTTACTCTTACAGAGGTATTACAAAATACTGTGTAGGGAATTTAAATTTAGTATACTAGATACTAGTACTACATGCCCGTGATCGTGCGGATATTGTAAGCTGTAAAATAAACTAATATTTTTTTTCTAATCAAATGATGGTAAATACACCGTTCTAACAACATGACATACTTTACTTCGTCTTATCTAATATTTTCTTATCATTTCTAAAGTTTTCCAGGTGTACAGTATGTCAAATCACTTTTCATTAATTATTTTGTTCCAGTCAACGGCTTGTGAGTATCATCAATTAGTTGAATATCTTTAATAATTTGGATGAATTCCATTTGAATCCTGTAATTATCAACAATGATTTATATGAAGCGCCGTTTTGGTATTTACTGCCACAAAGTGATATCACCTATTCAAATAGAATCGATTAAATGTATCAGATCCAGTATTAAAAGTCGCGTATTAAAAGATTGAGGGGCAATATGAAAACCATCTATCCTTCTGTGTTCAATAATCCAGAAGTGAAAAAAGAATTAGATAGATTAAACGATCAGTACGTACAGGTTCCTGCCGACAAAGCAGGTAACAACATTGTCTTCGTTTGTAAGGATCATTATATAAATTGTATTTTAGAAGAACTTGGATTTTATTCTACAAGTGGTAATCCTAATTATACTCGTACTTCACTTTCTAAGGAAGAAATTCTTCCAAATCATATGTCAGTTATATATCTTGAATATTCCACAGAGCCGAATTGAATTTGAACTACCCTATATTTATTGGATTCCGAAACTTCATAAAATTCTTCCAAACAATGATACATATTGCGGGTCGTAAATGTTCAACGAAGCCTCTTTCGTTACTCCTCACTAAGATATTGCTTAAGGACAGATGATACAAACAAACTTACGTCAAAATTTTTGAAAATAATAACTTGGATCATGTTTTAATCAATAAAATGAATAAGTTTCACCGCGTAGTTTTTAATTTTTTATTCAAAGTTGCGCAAAAATGCAATTGGAAGTGAAAAATATTTGTATGGAATAATAAGGATGATTACAGAAAAGTAGAATTTTGAACGTCACAGAAGGTTTACAATTTCTTAATATTCTAGCAATTGATTATTTGCATCATTTGCAACGAAATAAGGTCAAAAAATAAATCACCAATCCAGGCATCCATTTTTTTTTGTATCATCTGTCCTTAAAGTTTCTGAGTGACAATATCTATGTGGTTTTTGGAGATCAGGTATTCCAATGATCTATTGGAATTCCCATTAGTACCAATTGCGCTCCGTTATTAGCAGACCTATATATTATATATTCATATGAAGCAGAATTTGTGCAAAATCTTATGCGAGAAAAGAAGAAAACACGTGCTGTGGCTTTCAATTCGATAGAAATTTTGACATTTAGATATATCGACGACGTATTGTCAATTAACAATGGTAATTTCCATTCCTACGTCGATACGATATATCCTGGTAACTTTAGAAAAAAGATACCACAGAGTCTGCACATCTGTTTCATAATTGGATATTTTACTTGAAAAAGACGTTAATGGTAATCTAACAACCAAGCTATAGATATGATAAACGTGATGACTTTATATTTTCTATCGTCAATTTCCCTTACTTATGGAGCAATACACCTTCATCACCTGACCTGCATACGGAGTATATATATATATCTCAGTTAATTCGAAAAGCAAGAGCAAGCTCCATGTATGAACAATTCTAAACCGAGGTAAATTATTGACAAGCAAGTTGAAGAAACAAGAAAATCAGCAATCTCGTTTAAAGTCATCATGTCGTAAGTTCTTTGGTGGATACAATGACTTTGTCAGCAAATACAATTTATCATTGAGTCAAATGCTTACTGACGTTTTTCATATTAATTGTGCGTCCATTATTTCTACACTAAATTGACGACGGATTTTCCCGTTATTTTCCGATCATGACAAGGAGCACACGGCAGGTGTGACCGGTCAGCAGGGGGTGCTCACTTCTCCATGGCACCTGATCCCATCTCTGATGTTTTGGAGATACGTGTTTGCTCTGCTCCTATTTTGTATTGTTTTATGGACTTGAGATTTAATATTGTTCGTTATCTCTTTATCCTTCTTCCTATAGGTGATATCACTTATTCAAATAGGTGATATCACTTTTTGCCAATAAATACCAAAACGGCGCCTCATAGATTTAAAACTGTTCACCCTTCTGTATTAGCCTGTAAACCAGGATGGCTGCAGTTCCAGAAGAAATGTTACTGGTTTTCAAACTTTGCCCTCGATTGGTATCGAGCTTCAGTAAGTGATGTGTACAGAATAGATATTACACAAACCTGCACATGTGTCGCTTATTTGTGGGCGACTTGTGACAATATATTCATCTAAATGTTAGATTACTTTATTGTTGATTATATTTGTAGGGAAACGCAAATAAGGCGCTTCATTTCATTATGATAGTGGTTGCTTGATCAATTTGAAAATCATCACGATCATGAATTATGAGATCATATTCAGAAGCGAGCATAATCTGAATTCCGTTAGAAAACCGCAACACGTTTCAGATAAGATTAAAAAATTTTAATCAAAATTCGAAAACCTAAGTTGGTTAAAAAATAATAAAATGAGCAAATTCATTTGTAATTTTTAAAATTTGCAGTCAGTGCTCAGAAAAAAAGGTAGACAGGGGGTAAAAAAAAAACAAAGATAAACAGTTCTGTAATTAAGTTTATTTTTTGTGGAGATTTAGATTTCGTTTCCTTGGCCTATTTTTATGTTTAAACTTGGTTACTTGGTTACCCAACTTTTCAATTATATTTACAGAGCTGTTGCCAGGCCTTAAGCTCCAAACTAGCAGAACCATTGACGAGACCTGAGATGAATTTTTTGTCGAGTGAAACAATGAGTAAAGGTGCTCTTTAAATCTTATTACATATTAAGAAACATCAGGTGATAAAAGGTTACTAACCTCACATGTAAGTCTAAGATTTCTTTTACAGGGAATGTCTATTGGATAGGTGTTACTGATATGGTCCTGGAACACAGCTGGGTGTATGCATCTTCTCTTTCCTCAATGACCGTCCAGAATTGGAACCCAGGTGAACCAAACGGTGTTTTGGACCAGAATTGTGCATTCCTCCATACTCATGGAAAACTTGTAGATCATATTTGTGACACATCATATCGCTTTGTTTGTGAAATGGAGAATGTGTAGGTACACGTCCTTCATCTCAAGCAAGAGTCTGTTACAGAACACATCATTTGAATATTGATTTTCTCGTATTTTAATTTGTATATCATGTAGGACAGTATATCATTTCACAGTATTTATCTACTTACATACATAACATAATTTTTAGAGGCAATAGTTGTGAACATCAAATTGAAGTGAAAAATAGTATGTTAAAATCATATAAAACTTTCACGCATGTTTCATGTGTTTTTATTCTATAGAAAATATTTAATTTCTGTTCTCAGGTACCAGATAACGTCCCCTGTTGGGTGAACTTTACAGAACCAAAATAATAAATAGAGAGATATGTTCTTGTTTGTATGTTTCATTTCTTTTTGCTAAATGAAAACTTAGACCTGAGCCCAGTACAATGATTATAACAGAGCTGACTTAGGTAAAATTTATACGTTGGCTTAATTTTTAGATTTATGACGTTTTCATCATGTGTTCTTCATGTTGCAAGATTTAATACGTTTTTTGAATGAAAACTTGTACTGAAATCTATTCTCGGGATTTTCAACAAATCATCTATAGAGGATTACTGGACTTGAGCTTTCAATTTCTCAACATTTTCCCAAGAGTTTCTGTACAGTTTGAGTTACCTTTTCTACTCAACATCCAAACACCATTTCTTGTCACGCTTAAAGTCTGTTAAACAAGTAAGGTATATTCTTTTTTTTTTTTTTTTTTAAAACCAAAAACTGCAGGTATTTATGAGATAGCGTGACATTGGTCACTCTCAATCACGTTCTTTACAGTCCGGATAAAGTTTTCGTCGAATATCTTCTTCCCATCCTCCCATATAGCATTTTTACAGAGGTCTAACGGTCTAAAATTTCAATAAGCTATTTGTGGACGAATGTCACAAATACCCTAGTTTACTACATATTTTATTATGCATATTTTAGATCTATTTTGGCGATATCTCGAGCATTACACATAATTTAACAAAAGTGTGGCGCGCCATCAATTCAGGAGACATCATTTTCACAGTCGTTTTCACGGGGATCGCATCAGAGAAAAATCACTATATTTTTGTTAATACTTCAAATATCATGTAAGAAATCTAAATACATAATAATAGAAAAGTTTAAAGATACATTTAAGAAATTGTCGAAAAATATCGCGAATTATAGAAAATTAATGAGTTAAATTTTGGATTCCGCATACTTTTGCTTCTATTATTTTGTCTTGCTCCGTACCTCTCCATCAGCGATATCAACATAGCGATAATTTTAGTAGAATTTTCCAAAATACAGAAATATTGCCTAAAATTTATTGAAATCTCTAGGATACACATTTCTGTGAAATTCAGAACGATGACTTCTATAAGAGTAAATAATAGCACAGTCCGCGTAATTTTTGAACGGCCCTCCTATGAAACAGATTGTCAGACTCTGTTGTATATTTTATTTCAAGCTCACCGGGATATATCGTATCAACACAAGAATGGAAATAACCATCGTTAATTGACAATACGCCGTTGATATATCTAAATGTCGAGTTGAAGGCCACAGTTAGTGTTTTCCTCCGCCAAACGCTCGGCATCAGAAGTGAAAGTCACGTGTCTTTCAGATATGACCTTAATTAAAAACGTAGGTCCCGTGTCACGGTAGGCGCTGGCACGATAAAGAACCCTCATTGCTCAATGGCCCTGAGTGCCGAGTAAAGGTCTAAATTTGAAGCCCTTCACCAGCATACGGTGACGTCTCCATATAAGTGAAAAATTCTCGAGAGGGACGTTGAACAATATACATGTACAATCAATCAGTCAGTCTTTTTACGTATAAGGTTTTGGATATATTCTGCTTCATATGATTTTAAAAAAATAGATCTGCTAATAGTATAAATAAATATAACGTCGCCAATATATTGAATTTTTTGGTTGATGGCCACAGAAAAGTCTTCTTCGTTTTATTATTATTATTTTTTTTGGGGGGGGGGGGGTCTATATTACTCAGAATTCTAGAAAATAGAAACACATTTCACATCCTATGGAAATAGTTATCAAAGGACACCACTAGATATCCTGATTGATTGAATAAGGTCTACTGATAGAGATAACCAAAGTGTTTTTCTGTGAAATTGTAAAATGCTCGATTTTTTCTATTTTTATTTTCTAGGGAATACATCAAGGATAAAGGGGTTTTCAATCTCAGACTTTTCCCGCCTTTGTTCGATCAAATTCTGTAATGCAATAATATTTTACATAATTGTTAAAAGACAATATTTTTTCAAGGCAATGCTGTTTCAAATATCATAGTAATTTTTTTAAAATACAATGAATAGTAATGATTCAAATCAAATATATATTCGTAAAAATCACAGTAAAGATAAAATAGCTTATTCATTGATTTTTTTAAATACCTCGTATGTCTTTCATATACTCCATCATTAGATACTGAGATACAGCAGCATTGTCGGTGGACACCACTAGGATATCTAACATGGCGGGTACAGATACATCTTGTGAAGAGGATATTTCTGTGTAAAAAAAAAAAAAGGAGCCATGCTTAATGAAGACAACATTAATAAACCAAACACACATAATTTTTCTCTTAAAAACTCTTTGGATATCAGATGTCTTTTTCAAGGGTTTTGCACGCTTAAATAATTTATTTGTTAGTTTGATTTTATCAAGTCTACAAAGTTATTGAGAATCCATTTCAATATTTCATTTACACGCCACCATTCTGTCATCAATAAGGTGCCTGTTATATTTCAGAGTTGCTTTACAATTTCTATTTTAAGTTGTAAAATTATCAAAGGAGTGAACATAAGTTATTAGCTTCAAAATCGTTTCCATTTGAACATAAATGGCATGAACGAAAGTCAACTATATGTGCCATATTATAATTTGATTATTCATTTTTGTAAGAATCCACACAAAGATTCCTCCTTTATTGGTTTCCCTTACCTTGTACTTTTTTTAAGTTTTCGTAATGTGTCATCCAAGAACAAAGATGAAATTCCTTAGTAAAATCATAAAAACGGTCCTCTGTGTCCATAAGACTGTTCACTGAAACATCAGCAAAAAATAGTTTACTTCTCTAGTATAAAGTGATATCTATAGATCAATATAAAACATTGGAATATCCCTTTAAGGAAAAATATGATATAAGTAATGTACGAATATATACGTATATTAAACTAATAATCTTTAATCTTAAAAATTCAGATATGGGAAAGATACAGTAACCATATTCAATCATGGAAATATAGAAACAAGATACAGCATTCGAAAATATGAAAAAAAACATACTTTTTTGACAAAAAAAACTCAGCACGAGAAAATTTATAGCAGAGTTGGAATGTAGTTGTTTCTTAAAGGATTATTTTAATGTTTATTAAATCTAATTAAACCGTAGCACACATTCTTGCAAATAAAGGAAAGAATTGCAATTTCATTCAGTAATTCGTGAAGATACACTTGATCTCTAATTGAACTGATTTATCCCAGTACTTCTATATTTTGTGCTTTCCTATTACATTAGAAGTATTTCAGAGAGAGTTCCAAAGTGAATTGATTATTGCTTTAAAATTGATTTCTTTCCTATCAGCACACTCAATCTGTTCAAATTAAAACCCTTCTTGGGGAATTTTACTCTTTAACTATCAAATCATAAAGAATTCATCAATCAAGATATATAAAAATCTGAATAATCTTACTTATTGCACATAAGTGAAAAACAGAAAGATTTTTAACTTTGAATGCGGGGATTTTTCCTTCACTAAATGAATATCGTTGAATCTTAATGACAATGGCTTTATGGTAATTGAAAAATTACAGTTTTTTTCTGTAAACTCAAACACAGACTAACAAATACAAACACCTCTCCTCACGCACACAAACCCTCACACACTACCTGTCCACCCCCATCCACCCCCCAAAAAAACAAATATACAAAGATACTCAGAGAAAAAGACTGGCAGACAGATCGGCAGACAGAGACGTTCTTTCAAAGAGAAAATTTCAATTTCAGAAAGTTATACTGTACCTGCCTGGCACTTCCTTAAACATCTTGGTATATCCACTGCTCCCATTGCCTCTTTAAAAAAATTAAACGATAACAAATAAATTTATACTACTGTAAAAATATTATCAAAGATAAAAATAAAACTTTAATAATGAAACCTTTAGAAAATAACAATGTAAACCTCGGCCTCTGCTTTCAAGGACAACGTCGTTGTTTCGAGAAAAAGCCAAGTATAATGATTAAATTGATTGCTGTGGTGTGTTTTATAATATCGTTATTATGCCCCCGAAATCGAAGATTCGTAGGTAAATAGTGTTTGCCCTCTCCGTCCGTCACTGTCTGTTTATCTGTCTAAAAAATCTTTGATAAAATTACACACAATGTACAACATTCAACCGGTTGAAGCTATGGTTTTTGTTTGCTCTGCTCCTGTTATGTAACAATATTATCACAGATAATTCAATTTATGCTCTGCTCCTGTTATGTAACAATATTATCACAGATAATTCAATTTATGCCGCTATGAGAAATATATTATATTTTACACCTTAGGATAATTCCGCATATCCCTGCGCAGTCTGCAGGATATGCACCTTTATTGCAGCGCAATTATCATATAACCTTTCATTGCGAAATCGCAACCTTTGCTTTCCTTGACAGAGTAACCCAATCAGAATCCTCGATTTGTTGCGCCATTTTTTGTTAGCCTGGTAGTGCGTTGAAAAAAAAAATGTTTGTGCAAAAGGGGACATGGGTATATGTGGCCTAAGATTAATTATTGGTCAGCTTCTTAGGGGAGAATCATCGGTGCCTGTAATTTATGCCGTGGAAATTATCCTCGTATCATGGAACCTATTTCGGTGGAGGCACAGATGGTTTTTTGGAAGAACTCATTACACACTGCAAGGGTTGCTGTTCACTTTGACAACCCCCTATGAAGAATTTGAAACACGGGGACCGCTTTCGCCCATGAATTGGAGAAGTTCTAGGAATGTAGTGATTGTGCACTCCCGTCAATTAAGGGCATTATTATTTTGGTCATTATAACAAAACAAATCATGTTTTAACGTTTACATATTTGGAGCAGCTTTAAAATCATTATTTTATTCATACGTCATTTTGGTTAAGCTGCATGCCTTGTGGCAACGCACTTTGAAAAAATTACGCACTTTGAAAAAAATTTTCAAAGTGCGTTAAAATTGGGACAAAATTAACGCACTTTGAAAAATTTTTTTCAAAGTGCGTCAAAGGAATATATATGATAAGAGCCAATCTTGGCCCCCTAAAAATCAACATTTTAGAATGACATTCAGATATGTTTTTTTTGATTTGAACATATTTTATTGTTTAACACAAAAGGATCAGAAACAAGTTCTTACAACTTACAAGTTCTTCTCCTGGTGTTAGTATAGTCGATACAGTTAGTACAGTTGTCATAATAATAACATAATAAAGTATATAATATTGACAAGTAACATAAATCAATTGAAATGTTAATTAAATCTTCCAGATTCATTGATAAATTTATGAACTGCTGAAAATATAAGACAGTTCATATCATAAGATAGATGTCATTACCCCATAACAACAGATGTGTGTCTATTAGAATCGATTCGTCTAGTTTGAAAAGTTTGTCAAAAAGATTATTTCGTGCTCTTACATATCTTTTACAAACAAAGAAAAAATGATATACATCCTCATTCTGACCACAAATACATTTAGGAGATTCAATAATATTCCTTCTATAAAGATCATAATTTAGTAAACAGTTGTGTCTTAATTTAGTGTATATAATATTGATAATACGCTTACCAAACGAAAAATATTTCGGGGGCTTAGTTATTATATCGGTGATATTCTTTTTAAAAGTGTTAATAGATGTTGCTTCTCTGACTTCTAATTTC